TGTCAATAATAAAACCAATTCAAAAATCCTGATAAAATAAAACTCTACTAAATAACTGGAGACCATTCAGCTTAATAATTAATGTAAACGTGAAAATCTTAAGCAAATCCATATGGAAAAGTTTGAAACCATTTCCAATCGACCTAATTTATCCAAATAGGCACATACAAGAGATTGTTTTACTCCAGTCTGATTAAAACACAGATCCTATTTCGTTTCGTTTTTTATAGTTCAAAATTTGTTATTCTTAATGTTTAAAGTCCGCTTCCACTGAAGGTGATATCGCAGACAAATTGTCTTATTTTTTCATTTTCATTATCTTAGCGCACGCGCAGGGATTTGTCCTGTGGTTGAGAAGGCGCCCCTATCTCCAAGCCACACCAGGGATCGAAATCACAACGGAAGCCAGAGGTGACCGGACAGCTAGAGGTCGAAGCGCGACACGCTAAACCACTAGGCCATCCCACCCCGCACTCCCACCCCCTTACTACACTAGGATCTGGAAGAGTTGTTACATAACCTGCGTTCTGGATGATGTAAGGGATTAGCCAATGAACCGGTCTGTTACGGCGAGATCGCTGACTCGAATTCCAATCAACAAATCAATCGTTTACTGTCCACAGAGAATGGAAGGTCGGGAGAAAATTTTGAAACTTTAACTGCCACAAACACATTTTCCTGCTATTTCGGCCTGTGAATACAGCAACTTATATGTGGTCCAATAGCTACCTTTCGTGGTTGACCTGAATCCCCAACAACCAATCAGTCGCCCTCCTGGAGAAAATTTTGAAAATTTAACTACAGCAAATGCGTTTTACTGCTTCTCTAGCCCGTAAGTTAAGCAGCTCTAAAGTTATCTGATTGTTTTGTAACCGAAATCCCACTCTATGTCGACCTGAATTTTAACCATCCAATCACACTGTTGCAGCTGCATTCACAAATAATAATCGATGCCCGAAAAATGTCGCAGAAAGTAGAGTGGCTCCAGACAAAATGTTTTAATGTAAAATTAGTGTTTTATTAGATTTCGGCCACTTTCTTTCGCCAACTAGATGAAATAATAATTTTTTTCACTTTACCCGTCTGTCCGAAAAGTCAGATTGCCCGAAAGTTAGTGGGTAGCAGCCCCCCCCCCCGCGCCACACACACACACACACCCGGCTCGTACGCCTATGAAAACTTTTCGAAATTTTAAAACAATTTAGTGAAGTACCCTGTCTTGAAATCAATGCAACCAAAACCGAGATAGCAGTTGTATTATGTATGTACTTTATTTATATGTATGTGTTGCCATTGGTGCATTATAGTTTTGAAGAAAAAACAAATAAAAACAAATAAAAACAAACAAAACTGAACAACTCACTGATTTCACAAATGAAAATAAATAAATAAATAAATAAATAAATAAATAGGGATACTCACCAAGCACGACAAAACAAAAACTCCTTTCATTTTGTTTTTAAAACAATCTGCACATTTATATGTAAACTGCACCAGATTTATATATAAACAGCCTCAAGAAATAAACAATAATAAAATATTTATATCTACACGTAGTCGAGTAATATCAACCGCTAGGTACTAGGTGAAATATTTATATATACATGTGGTGCCGTTATATTAATCGTTACAGGTGTATATGACATATCAACAATCACTTACTACACAAACAAAACTAGCTCAACCGGATCTGGATAAATACGTCATTTATTTTCATCGCAGCGTGTAAACAGCCATTGTTAATATCAATCACACGTCAAGCCAAACCTTTTTGCTGTCTCTCAAACTAAAGTTTTATTTGTATTTTATTTTTTCTTATATTCTGACGAAAGCAACGTGAAAGGTGGAACAATGAAATGACAATTGACATAAAATATTTTATTTATAATGAAGATAAATTTGAAACCAGTACTGGCATATGGTGACAGGGTCAGATTAAAATGAAATAAAATAGGGTGCAGATTAAAAGACTGTATTGCTGACTGGAAAGCAGCCACTGGTCCTAATATTGAAGGGACCCCAAAAATAGCGTGAGCTTAGCCTTAAAACGCAATTGTGGCGAACCGACGAATCTGATATATTTAAGTATTAAGAATTATGTGTTTGAAATTTGCGTTCTGTTGTTATATCTGTGGACATCAAATAATAACATTCATTTGTGATTTAATATTTCATACATATACATCAGGACACCGAAAGCCATGTACATAAATGTAATTAATTGATGGCGACAGAGATAATAACAGAACGCAAATTTCAAAGACATAATTCTCAATACTTAAATATATCAGATTCGTCGGTTCGCCAGAAACGCGACAATTTGTCTGCGATATTCCCATTGGTCGAACCGAGTTAAACACTGACAAAAGAAGAACCAGTTCTAAGAATAGAGAGAGAGAGAAAAGGGGTTAAGCGTCCAGTCGACACAAACTAGGCCATTTCGGGACTAACATATGGTATTAATTTTATTTCAATAATTTGCTTGTGCGTAGGGATCTTTAACAGTGGGAGGGACCCGGAGAAAACCAACGAGGTTGGACAGGCGAGTTCTAAGAATAATTCTGTACCATAAATAAATATGTCATTTATTATATGTTTAATGTCACTTTCACCCATATTGACATTTAAATTGTATATGTGCGAGTATTACGGTCAAAGACAACAATATGCCCTCTTTACACTGTTGATGCAAGGCCCACGGTGGCATTTTCAGAGAGAGAGAGAGAGAGAGAGAGAGAGAGAGAGAGTTTCTGGAGTTTTACGTCCACTTCCACCTAAGGTGATATCGTAGACAAGAGAGAGAGTTTGTACTTTTCTCCTTTAATATTTTATTTCAATAATCAAACCGGATGTGTCTTTAACAGTGCAAGGGAACCGGTCAACCGTAAGACCGGATGTGTGTTTAACAGTGCAAGGAAAACGGTCAAATTCCGAGTAGATTTCCGGGGTCACTTCACCTTGTCATCGTGCTATCAAACTTTCGGTAGTTGCCTAGCTGACATACAACGCACATGTTGTCCGTTAGAGGGGGGTGACAGAGTCAGATTAAAATGAAATAAAATAGGGTGCAGATTAAAAGACTGTATTGCTGACTGGAAAGCAGCTACTGGTCCTAATATTGAAGGGACCCCAAAATTAGCGTGAGCTAAGCCTGAAACCGCAATTGTGGCGAACGGACGAATCTGATATATTTAAAGCGGAAATTTCAAATTTTTAAGTTATATTTTTAAAATTTATTAAAATAAAGCCTGAAAATAGATGGTAACCATAAACACTCCTACCTTGTTAAAGAATAATCCTATTAATCCTATAATTCACTATTGCCAGCTGAGAAATTGGCAAAAATATTATATTCCTCTTCAAATTCAAACGTTTGAAAAAAAAAACTACTCCATGGTGGAGAATAGAAAACAAGGGAGGTAATTGGGAGGTAATTGTGTTATTATTTCCTGTGTAAATGAGTTTTAAGTGTGAGAATGACATCGTATAATTGTGAGTTGACAACATATTGAGCAAAAGACATAGAAATAATTATGTTTTGACTTTCTTAGAAAATTTGAAATTCTCGCTTTAAGTATTGGGAATTATGTGTTTGAAATTTGCGTTCTGTTGTTGTATCTGTGGACATCAAATAATAACATTCATTTGTGATTTAATATTTCATACATATACATCAGGACACTGAACGCCATTTACATAAATGTTATTATTTGATGGCTACAGAGATAACAGAACGCAAATTTCAAACACATAATTCTCAATACTTAAATATATCAGATTCGTCGGTTCGCCAGAAACGCGACAATTTGTCTGCGATATTCCCATTGGTCGAACCGAGTTAAACACTGACAAAAGAAGAACCAGTTCTAAGAATAGAGAGAGAGAGAAATGGGGTTTAGCGTTCACTCGACACAAACTAGGTCATTTCGGGACTAACATATGGTTTGATTTTATTTACATAATTCGCTTGCGCGTAGGGGTCTTTAGAAGTGGGAGGAAACCGGAGGACCCGGAGAAAACCCACGAGGTTGGACAGGCGACCCTACTCCTTGTCATGTACAACCGGGGATTCGAAACCACGCCAGTCGACTCAATGACAGACTTTATGATACAGCGCGCGCACGCTAACCATTCAACCATCCCCCCCCACCCCCCTGCCCCACTGGGTTAATGAAGACGGATCCCGCTCAACAGAACATAAAGATGCATTATGTAAGATTCAGATAACCTATGACGCAAAGTTTGTCATTGTTCCCCCGCCCCCACTCCCTCTTCAATTCTTCAATTAGTTGCTGCTGAGATTTGTAAACAATGTTCAGTTCAATTACCGTTCTCTCTAGTTTGGGTTTGGTTAGGACCCACGGCTTTTCAGTGCCCCCACCACCCGCCCCTTCCCCTTCAATTAGCTGCTGCCGAGATTTGTAAACAATGTTCAGTTCAGTTACCGTTCTCTCTAGTTTGGGTTGCCTGTCCAACCTCGTGGGTTTTCTCCGGGTCCTCCGGTTTCCTCCCACTGCTAAAGAAATAAAATTAAACCATATGTTAGTCCCAAAATGACCTAGTTTGTATTGAGTCGACGTTAAACCCCATTTCTCTCTCTCTCTCTCTTTCTAGTTTGGGTTTGGTTGGAACCCACGGCTTCTTAGTGAGTAAGACGTAGGCTCGCTAAGGTACCATGTTCGATTCCCGTGTTAGCCGATAATGTTCTTCGAGACTTTCCAGCGTGATTTCCTCTTAGCAATGATGCCGGGCGGGGGGTTTGACCAAGGACAAGGTATAGTCCTTCAGATGGGACGAAACACCGAGGTCTCGTGTACACATTACTCATCTAACCACCAACCGCATTTGGACGAGAACCTAAAATTTGTTTTCTAATAATGGTGCCGGAAGGAGGGTTTGACCAAGGACAATGTATAGTCCTTCAGATGGGACGAAACACCGAGGTCTCGTGTACACATTACTCATCTAACCACCAACCACATTAGGACGACAACCTAAAATTTGTTTTCTAATAATTTTAATCAAGAAAATGTCTTTTTAAGTCGGATTTATTTCAATTGGTTAACAATATATATAGAAGTTGATATTCATGTGATTGTTTAACAATATACATCAAATATAGGTCTACCATATACAGAGTAGTTTGTGGGGTTTTTAAAATCATATTCAAATATATTACTGTTGATAATTACATGTTGTAATATATCATCTGTTAAGGGTTTTAACATTAGATATAAATATATAATGTATTATATTGACTGTTGACATACAGGGTAGTTTGGGGTTTTTAACATCAGATATAAATATATTATGTATTGTATTAACTGTTGCTATACACGGTTGGCGGGGGGGGGGGGGGTAACATCATATATATATATTATATTGACTGATTGACTGTTAATATACAGAGCAATATATATATATTATGTATTATATTGACTGTTGACATACAGGGTAGTTTGGGGGTTTTCACATCAGATATAAATATATTATGTATTAAATTAACTGTTGCTATACATGGTTGTGGGGGGGGGGAGATAACATTAGATATAAATATATTATGTATTATGTTAACAGCTGATATACAGAGAATTTGGTTTGAATTTTCTAACATGAAATATAAATATATTTTGTATTGTATTATCTGTTTCTATTCATCTTGTGTTGCTAATACCATTTAAGAGATTTCAAATGCCGTAACGTCTTTAAATTCCACATTTTGCTGAAGAAAAGGAACAGAAATAGATTATTCATTAATAAATACGTACTTAAAACCTCGAATCCCGGCACATACCAATAAGGTCTGTGGTAGTCAAGTCGTCATGACACTTATACCCCATTAACACATGGACAATGTTAGTTATACCCCATTAACACGTGGATGATTTTAGGACTATAAAATGTTAGAGGACCAGTTACACTCTATTAATATATGGACAATGTTAGGACTATAAAATGTTAGGACCAACCAGTTATACCTCATTAACACATGGATGATTTTAGGACTATAAAATCTTAGAGGACCAGTTATACCCTATTGTAACATGCTTAAGGGTGAATCTTTCGTTTTGATTGGTCAATTAGACACAGTCTATTGGACAATAACACCCCTCTGTTTTAGTAACTTCTTTTAAAATCCTAAAATCCTAAAATAGCATGTTACAATGTCGATAAACACTTCCCGTTTGGCATTTAGAGGGGTGTTACTGTCCAATAGACATGTCCTGAGATTTTACATTAGAACCCACGACGCTAACGCGAAATATCACCCATCTAAATATCACCCATCTAAATGCGAAACAGGACGTGTTTATCTTCTAATTAACACAAGCACGATGATGTCACTAAAAAAGGACAGAATTCCACTTTGCGAAACAATACAGCACATCAACCTTATTTAAATCGAAAATTTAATTTAAACTAACTCAAAACGTCGTAACCATTTTATAGTGTATCTTTGTGTTGATGATGATGATGATTATGATATCGCAACTTACCAAAGTCTACGGGTATAGTCTGGTAGCCATCGCTAACAGTACAGTCTAACGGGCTGGCACATGGACATTCTGTATGTACATCATTACTGGTTGTCAGAGGATCAGTACCATTTACACATTCTGAAATAATATTACACATTACACATACTGAAACAATATCAAACATACTGAAACAATATCAGACATACTGAATCAATATCAAACATACAGAATCAATATCAAACATATTGAAATAATATCAAACATACTGTAACAATATCAAACATACTGTAACAATATCAAACATACTGTAATAGTATCAAACATACTGAATCAATATCAAACATACTGAAACAATTGCAGTTCACGCAAGTTTGGTGAATCCTAAACAAATGACGTCATAAATGAGGATTTCTCTTTACAGCATGGAACCTGAAAATGGTTACGTTCAGTCGCCGCCTTTTTATAATAACATCATGTCTAAAAAAAATCTGCCATTTTGCAAGCTAAGTTTGTAGCAACAAGCGTGTTTGTACGCCAGAAAGTAATGACCGGCTTGGGCACGCATGTGCCAACTTACAAGGAGAAAACACGCTGCAGAAAATTCGCTCATGGAAACAGTACTATTACATTTGCATTAGACCATCTTTTTCGCCGGCGAAAACTCGTACATGGATAGCGGGACTTACATTAAAGAATATAAGAAAGTAAATTGCTTACTTGAACCAAGGGTACCGAATGATGTACAGACTCCAGTGTAGGCCGATCTTTTCCTTCTTCCTTTTAATAAATCACCAATTCTACAGCACTGTTCTTCGCCACACTCTGAATTATCTGTACACTGTAATTCACATGTTCCTGTAATGGACAATTACATATAAGACCGTAGCTAAAACGTTGGTATATATTCATGTCTATGTTTTGGCTACAATGGACCTATTCAACCAATCATTACCTCAATCGGATTTCACGTCAGTGTAAATCTTCAATCCAATCTTGAAATTTAATTTAGGACAGGCTTACTCATAACCACGGTGTTTACGAATAAAGATTTCCTCGTAAATACTGTATAAACGAATTACAGTTACGTCGTAAATACTGTATTAATGAATTACAATTACGTCGTAAATACTGTATATTAATGAATTACAATTACGTCGTAAATACTGTATTAATGAATTACAATTACGTCGTAAATACTGTATTAATGAATTACAGTTACGTCGTAAATACTGTATTAATGAATTACAATTACGTCGTAAATACTGTATATTAATGAATTACAATTACGTCGTAAATACTGTATATTAATGAATTACAATTACGTCGTAAATACTGTATTAATGAATTACAATTACGTCGTAAATACTGTATATTAATGAATTACAATTACGTCGTAAATAATGTTTAAATGAATTACTACTGAAGCATTGATGACCTAACCCTGTCTCCCTGAAGCTACCAGACACTCTTTGTGCATGTTCATCATTCAGGGTGTCACAATAAATATGAAATTAAATGGGGTTTAAATGTACTTCTATTCTGTTCCAACTTGGCTAATGAAGAAGGGTATACGTCATACAGTGTGATATGATGGAATTTAAACTGTCAAGGACTCTTTTGCGTGCGCGCCAATGTGTACACGGGATTTCAATTTTTCAGCAAACTGAATACAACTACGATTACCAGCAATCTTACTCAGGAGAGATTTGATTGGACGATAAAAATAGACACACTACGTCAAAAATACAGTATAGCAATGGCTAGAACATGGCAGATGCGTGCTGGGCGGGTAGGCAACCCTGCCCTCAAAATAAAAAAAAACAAAACAAAAAAACAAAAAAACAAAACGGAAATGGTTGATAACGCTCGAATTCGATGAGATTTCCTACCAGGGTATAGAGGTGTGTGTGGCTATGTGCCCCCCCCCCCCCATTTCGTTTAATTCTTGATTGTTGCTAACTATGTTCATGTTCACATCTTCAGGACTAAATCATAATCCCTCAACCAGAGAGAGAGAGAGAGAGAGAGAGAGAGAGAGAGAGAAATGGGGTTTAACGTCCACTCAACACAAACTAGGTCATTTCGGGGCTAACATATGGTTTAATTTTATTTCAATCATTCGCTTGCGCGTAGGAGTCTTTAGCAGTGGGAGGAAACCGGAGGACCCGGAGAAAACCCACGAGGTTGGACAGGCGACCGTACTCTTTGTCACGTAAAACCGGGGATTCGAAACCACGCCAGTTGACTCAGTGACAGGCTTTATGATACTGCGCGCACGTGCTAACAATTCGGCCATCCAACCCCCCTCCCTTAACCAAGTAGCCTATCAATGTATGGTATGCCAGGCCCAGGGCTCAGATACGTCAAATCGATTCTATGATGTGTCACAGAACCAAGAGTTTCCCCCTATAGTGCCCTAAGTTTGATCTGTCTACCTTCAGAGACCCCAGCACGCCTCTGGAACATGGTATGGAGTAGACTTACCCATTTGTCCATACGTCATATCTTTCACTTTTGCGGCAACACATTTATAACCTATACCACATGGACAGACAGGGTACGTTCCATCACTTAATTGTTGAGGGTACATCAAACAAGCTGTAATAAAACAAATAAATATTGTTACAGAGCGGACTATGCTGTGATGGTTGTCATTCACTGGGTAGGGTATACCACATGGAAACGTTCCATCCCTTAATTGTTGCGGGTATATCAAACATGCTATAATAAAACAAAAAAATCTCAAGCTGGGTGTCATGCACGGGCAGAGTATACCACATGAACAGACATGGCGCGTTTCATTTTTTAATTGTTGCGGGTATATCAAACACATGTTAATATTGGCACAGAGCGGACTATAAAGTGGTGCTTGTCATGCACGGGGCAGAAAGTGTGGAGAGAGACACGGCAAATTAATTTTGCATAAATAATTTGGGGTTTAACGTCCTACTGTTCTGCACCGACTGGGCTAATGAAGACGGACTTAAGCCATACAGTGTGGTATGAGGAAATTTTGCCCGGACAGCTGTGCTACGGCCTACTCTTATGGTTAGCGCTAAATGATAAGGCCAGCTCAATTTTTCGTCATAGATCACGAGAGCTAGCGCTAATCCCAACCCTAACCCTGGATCTAGCCCTAATGCTCACTCTAACCCTAATCTACAATCTCGCCAACAATCCCGTGCCCAAACCTTATTTACATCTCAGTGACCTTGACAAAAACTGAGCTGGCCTAAACAAACAGATTGAGCCATTCGGTCCCGTGTATATATTAGAATGCACGTAAAAGATCCCCTGGCAGTTGGAATTCGATATAAGAGTAGGCGATAGTGCCGCTGACGGGCAAAATTTCCCTCATAGCACACTGTATGGCGTATGCCCGTCTTCATTAGCCTAGTATAGGAGCAGAACAGTAGGACGTTAAACCCCATTTCATTTCATTTCATTTAACCATTCAGCTTACCGCTTCCAAGTGTACCGAATGCTTGACAGACACCAGGTAAAGATGTTCTTATTGAACCTCGACTGGATTGTCTCCCTTTACTCTGACAACATTGTTTTCCATCGACCATCTGACATCCTAGTTGATTGAGACAATCGAATGATAACAGGGGACGTTGCTTGGATATTATTCCACTAATACCACTCAGATGAAGTAAAACCTGAAATAAAACTAGTCTCTATCATTCAGACAATTATTATACCCCCGTAAGTTATACAATTAATGGCTTCTGGGTGACCGGGACTAACATGAAGAGAGAGAGAGAGAGAGAGAGAGAGGGGGGGGGGGGTAACATCCACTCGACAAGAACTAGGTAATTTCGGGAATAACATATGATTCAATTCCATTTCAATAGTTCGCTTCCGCATAGGGGTCTTTAGCAGTGGGGGGGGGGGGGGCGGAAGACCCGGAGAAAACACACGAGGTTGGACAGGCGACCGTAGGCTGCCCCTTGTCACGTACAACAGCGGAATCGAAACCACGCCAGTTGACTCAATGACACACATTATGATACAACGCGCACGCGCTAACCATTCGCCCCCCCCCCCCCAAAAAAAAATTTTTTTTATTAAACATGAATACGTCACAATTGTTATCTATGTACATCACAATGGTTATATCTATGTACATCATAGGGGTTATCTATGTACGTCACAAGGGTTATCTGTGTACGTCACAAGGGTTATCTGTGTACGTCATATGGTTTATCCCAAGCGTTAACTATATATATCACAAGGGTTATCTATGTACATCACAAATGTTATCTAAGGGCGTACTCGATTGAACGTTCCGAAATTGAATTCTCTCAATCCCAAAAATAGTGACAATGGGTACTTCGGGCTATAACGCATGCGTCGAATGGATATATAAACAACTAGACACTATTCCTTTCCTACTGTCCCCTCCGACTAAGGCGAGCCCAAGCTGGAAAATTCCGAGAAACTGTCTCATCCAGCACCGGGATCGAACACGGTACCATTATACGCATCGATCTCCTGATTGAAGATATATTATATAAGATTTAGATAAAAAAAAAAAAAAAAGAGCTGACAGTTCTCCCTATAATAGTTAAAGTTGCAATTTCAAATTTTTAAGTTATTAAAATAAAGCCTTAAAATAGATGGTATCTATAAACAGCCCTACCTTGATAAAGAATAATTCTATTAATCCTATAATTCACTATTGCCAGTTGAGAAATTGGCAAAATATCATTTTCAACTTCAAATTCAAGCATTTGAAGATAACTACTCCATGTTGGAGAATAGAAAAAAGGGAGGTAATTGGGAGGTAATTGTGTTATTATTTCCGGTGTAAATGAGTTTTAAGTGTGAGAATGACACCTATGATCGTATAATAGTGAGTTGACAACCTATTGAGCAAAAGACATAGAAATAATTATGTTTTGACTTTCTTAGAAAATATGAAATTGTAACTTTAAAAACTAGATAATGAAAATGGAATACCTTAAAAATTAAATTTTAGTCAAATTACTTCATTCTGAGCGATAGTTGAAGAACAGTGTAGTCCCGATTGTCATTGCTACTGTTGTTGCGATAGTAAAAAAAGTCTCGATTATTTACATTTTGATTAAATCATTAACCTCAATCGTGTTTAAATCCGTTGAAAATCTCGACCATCCTATGGCATCGACATATGTTTAATTAATAATCTATTATAATATTTCAGGCCTAAAGAAAGACCTGCAATAGGCAGATTTAGCTCTTCCATGTTTAAATATTCAGAATATATATCGGGTCGCCCAGAAAAAAACCGAGTACACTCTTTAATGTGGAATAATTCAATAAGTATTGTACCTATATCATTACCATTTCACATGTCGTAAAATATGGATGTTTGACATCTTCACTCTAAATTGTAAATCAAATCATTCCACTTTAACTAGTGCAGTCCCGGATTAAGCTTGTGGGGGGCCCGGGACATACCAACTGTGCGGGAGCCCCATTGTTGTTTATTCAAATTGTTCGTACTGACCGCGGATCGTACTAGTATGTACCTCCAGGAATTTTTTTTTTAAAATTAGGATTAATTTTAGTGCATCTGAGACAATTTAGGCAGCGATTTCCTGGGCCCCCGAAAATCTGTTGGTACCTACCAGTCCTGGGGCCCCCAATATCCCTTACTGCCCAGGGCCCCAATTCTCGCCCCCTTAGCCCAGGCACTGGTTGGCTCCGTCTGGGATAAAATATTAGTATGACCCAGAATTGTGGGGGGGGCCTTAAATGTGGGAGGCCTGGGACATTTGTCCCACTTTGCCCCCCCCCCCTTCCCCTAAATCCGGTACTGAACTAGTGTACTGGTTTTCTGTCTGGGCCATCCGATATATAGCTGTAAATCAAAAAAATATTAGGCCTACTTACCAAACACGATAAACTAAAAATGGCTTTCATTTTATAAATATACACTTGCACACTTTATATAAATCAGACACCTTTTTGTTTAGGGTTTTTCTTGTTTGTAATTACAAATCCTTACTTCGGAATCACTTCGTAATCTTGATTTCCCTTTAACACTTTATATAAATCAGACACATTTTCGTATGTTTTTTTTTTTTGGGTATTACAAATCGTTACTTCACTTCGTAGGTTGATTTCATAAAACGCAATTGGCATAAATACACAGCAGTACGTCACTCATTTAAATAATAAAGAAATCGATATTAACCGAGAAAACTGGCATTGTTATGAATAATACAGGGTCCTTTCGACTCACCCCTTTTTGTTAATTCACATAGCATAAGTATAAAGCCGACCCCACACACTAGGAGTTTCCATCTGGTACGACATTCTGAATATCGTTGCATATCGTAGAGTGGAAAGGGTATTAAGCCCATATACCTTTCTTAATAAATAGAGATAGAGGGAGAAATGAGGTTTAACGTCCACTCGTCATAAACTAGGTCATTTCAGGGCTAACATATGGTTCAACTTGCTTGAAGACGGTCCATGGTGGGGATGGGGTGGGGCATATATGAACGCCATAGAAATATTTCTTTTTCTATTTCTATGGGTTGACGTAACGGTCTTTTGTGGCAACTGGCCACAGATCACTAATGATTTCCCCATTGACTGTTAATTCTCGTATATTAGACCGGCTCTAAATTTTTCCGACATTTTCGTTGGGTAGAACGCTTTCTATTACAGATGGAGCAACCTGTGGCAACCTCTTGCCCAAAAGCACGTATGAGGTTCTTCATGAAAAACTTGAGATACACAAGCTGGAAGTAGAGACTAGTAAACATGCAGTTTTAGGCCCTACATTTCAACCTAAACAACCTCTCAACTCTTGTATCCTTCCGCATCAAAATTATGAATATTCACCAAAACCTGGCAGAAAATGTACTTTCAAACCCTTTTTTACGACTATACACCAAAATGTCAACAAAAATCGACATGCAAAAGGGGGGAAAAGGGAGAGGAAGACTAAAAATAGCTTTGGCCCTTGTTTACGGCATAGGAATATTTGGTGATCTGTGTCCAACTGACAGCCAAAACGACTTGAAATGAAATTAAATGGGGTTTAACGTCCTACTGTTCTGTCCCAAACTAAGCTAATGAAGATGGGCATACGCCATAGTGTGCTAAGAGGGAAATTTTGCCCGGACAGCGGCACTATGGCCTACTCTTATATCGAATTCTAACTGTCAAGGGATCTTTTACGCGCACGCCAATGTGTACACGGGACCTCGGTTTTTCGTCCCAACCAATCGACTAGACAGCTGTCCTTGTCAGACCCTCCGTCCTGCATCATCAGTGACAAGGGGGAACCACGCAGGAAAGTCTGGATGAATTACCCACTTAGCCACCGTGATCCCCGCTACGCCGGGAGGGCTGAGCCATCTGATGTAGATACAGCGAAAGATTCGTATCTTAGCAAAGGTCGTGTCGCAGACATAGGTATAGTAGTTGCGTGTGATGGCGGCTTAAGTTGAATTGTGATCGTGACAAATCTAGTATATTCCATTGTGTTGATTATATTGACGGCCGACATATAAAAGAATTTTTGTTCAAATCACTTGGTCACTGACAAACAATGAAAAATGTTGTTAAATAAAAGATCAGTACGTATATATTAATGTTAAAGAAATTATTGTTGTTTTGTTGGAGATATCGTGGTGATTCTTTTTATTGTTGTTATTCAAACAGTGGTTAGCGGAATATATTATTGAAGCAATGGTTACGAGATATCGTAGTGTTTTTTTTTTATTTTTGTTATTAATGCAGTGGCTAGGCGAATATATTATTGAAGCAATGGTTACGAAATATCGTGGTGTTTTTTTTATTGTTGTTATTAAAGCAGTGGCTAGCGGAATATATTCGTGAAGCAATGGTTACGAGATGTGGTGTTTTTGTATTGTTGTCATTCAAGCAGTGGCTAGCGAAATATGTTCTTGAAGCAATGGTTACGAGATATCATGGTGGGTATTTTTATAGATGATATTAAATCAGCGACTAGGGGGATATATTCTTGAAGCATGGTTGTGAGCATTTTCAGCCCAATAACCATACATGTCGAATTAGGTAAAAAAAAAACCAGTACAATATCTGTCCTAAACCACAGACAGTGGGTTGGGGGGGGGGGGGGCGGAATATCCCGATGAACGTTTAAGGCCAACACAGCGTCTTACTCACTTATCCACCGTGGTTGGACAAAACTAGGTGGATGAATGACAGGTGGCCTTGTATAGGGCGATTTGTCAGGTAGGCCGAGCTTATACTAATCGCAAGACAACGCCTGAGCCACGAGTATCAACAAGAGGGGCTACGAGCGAGACAGACAGATGGACCTGTCCACCTACTACCAGCTATCGTACAACATTGCATTGTATCAATCCTTTGATAGTACCTTTTTACTATACCTGTGAAAAAAGCGACGCGTGACATGACGACGTTGTTCTCGGTGTCGTATTTCACAACAGGCGACCAACAAGCTTTATACTTTAAATAGAATCGGGGATTCCCTTAAAATGACGTAAACGTCGTAGTACAAACCCTTTATATTTATATTTCCTTTACGAAACCAATAGCAGTAACATCCTATTTGATTTTATGTGAATGTTTAAGTTTTGTGGTCAGAATGGACGTTGATCAGTCAAGGTAGGCTAATTGATATTATGTTCACCTCGTGGATTTAGACTCTTTCTCACAATACATTGTTTTAGGGTATATACGAATAAAACGTTTATAAGCCATGTTAAACAACAGTGGCCTAATATCCCTCCACCTCAAAATCATGAATATTCACCAATACCTGGCAGAAAATATAAATTCAAATCCTTTTCTTCGAGGCTAGGCCAAAAAGTCAACATAGATCGCCATGCAAAAATGGGTAATTAAGGAAAGGGAAAGAAAGACTAAAATACCTTTGGCCCTTGTTTCGTGAGTGGTGATCTGTGCCCATTTAGACCTTTTCCATTTACTTCCTGGGGGGTGGGGGGATTGGATGGCCGAATGATTAGCATGTGCGCGCTGTATCATCAGGTCTGCCATTGAGTCAACTGGTGTGGTTTCGAATCCCCGGTTGTACGTGGCAAGGAGTATGGTCGCCTGTCCAACCTCATGGGTTTTCTCCGGGTACTCCGGTTTATTCCCACTGCTAAAAGACCACTACGCGCAAGCGAATTATTGAAATATAATTGAACCATGTGTTAGTCCCGAAATGGCCTAGTTTGTGTCAAGTGGACGTTAAACCCATCTCTCTCTCTCTCTCTCTCTCTCTCTCTCATTTGCTTCCTGGTGTAGGCGGGGTGGTTGGTGTAATATAAAGTTAATGTAGTCTGATATTACAGTAGTTATCTCCCATTAATCAGTAAGCATGTTGTTTACATTAAGTTACGCTCTCTTGCTATGTTTGCACAACAAATCAACATGTCATACATATCCTGGAACATGTACTGTATTTTATCAAACTAAGAACCCGTCACAGTTAGGCACAGGAACTTGAAGGGATTAAAATAAAACCGGTGTCTGTGATTCTCCAAAAACGGCTACTGACGAACGCCAAAAAAAACCCAACAAAGACAGATAATGCCACTTGATGATCAGGATTCCTTTATTTCCCGCGTATTTTTTATTCTGTTGTAAAAATTAGAACTACCAGGAAATTCACAACGAAACGAAGAAATGCAATGTGCTAATAATACGAGCTAGAAGGCGTATTTTTTAAAGGACATTTAAAAACATGTCTTCTATTCACTTAAACATACATTATGCAAGAGCTTAATCTGCCAATTGCAGGTCTTTCTTTATCTAAACTATTTATTAGACATTAATTAACTTATCCAGACCATAATCAACTCTCGTATCATCGCTAGCCTGTGATATTCTAATTGATATTAAGTATACACAGTTTGAGTTTAGACTTTCTTACAATAAAATGTTTTACGGTATATATACGAATAAAACGTTTAGAAGCCATATATTGTGTGAAGCGACAGTGACCTAATAACTGGCTGTTCACCATTTACTCGTGTTTTCTTTTGGCGTTCGTCACTTCCTATTCAGAAAACCTGTATTACTCAGCTATCGTAGCAATGATCTCTGTGTTAAAATTATATTTGGAATGTGTTTAACCAGCTCTATCACATATGTGATAATGACTGGCACCAATATTGTCCTTTAAAAGTAGTTCATTCATATTAGATGAAAACCCTTTATTTTTAGCATGATCTTAGAAGAAGGTGGCTGATGGGATGGCATGGGTTTGTATTAGGAACAAAATTTAAACTGCTTTTGCATCGCAAATTGTTAAAGTCAGTAACACCATTAAAAGTATAACTTTACATTAATCAGTTAAAAGAAGTCAGTAAAATACTTTACGTATTTCAGATTTCGGGAGGTTAACCAGGTAACAGCTTTTTACCTAAATCTTACATAATGCAACTTTTATGAGTAAATGAAGTCAGTAACTCGTTTTATGTATTTCAGAATTGAGGAGGCAAACCGGTTGAATAGAATTGAGGTTGCGCGGGCATATCTTCAACAGACGCCAAACTCACCAGAAAATAAAAGAGTTCGTATCGAATGGTGCAAAGAGGCTCTAAGGCTGCGACATTTGGAGCTTACAAAATTGTTATACACAGATGAGTTGATTTACGACAGAGAAGGGCGTCTGGATGATGTAATCAATATAGAACTGTTATCCAGTGCGATTGAATCAGACTTTGTGGAAGGCTTCGAATTTTTACTGCATCGTGGATTGTCTTTTGAAATCACTGAATGTGGGTTTTGGTGTGCGTTGTTTGAAGCTGTTCGAAAAGAGAAAATAGGAATACTTAAATATTTGGCATCATTTCCAGTTCTTTGTGTTTTGAATTCAACATTTGGCGAAACTATTCTTATGGTGGCGTGTAAAAACAGTAATTTGGAAGTCTTTTCTATTTTGTTGAAACATCAAAATGTCAAGGACGTCATTAATTATATTTCGCTTGACGAGGGTCTTTCAGTTTTGCATCTATGTATAGATTGGGCAAACTGTGAGACCACGTGCCTACTGTATGTAATGATGTTAGTAGAAGCAGGGGCTGATGTAAATATTTTATCCAATGAATTTATAACTCCTTTATTTACTGCGGCACGTAGAGGATTTATGTCTGTTTTGTCATATTTAGTAGACCACGGAGCTCATGTTTCTGTACCCGATTTGAATCTATATACCGTTCTTCATCACATTATCACCAAACCAAACACCATTTTGTTTGTACAGAAATTAATAAAAGCTGGACTAGAAATCAATTTACAAAATAAACTCGGTGAAACTTCATTATATCTAGCTACCAAGTACAGAAATGGGTGTGCTGTGAAAATACTGTTAAATACAAATGGCTGCGATGTGAATTTATCTGACAAGAAAGGGATCACACCACTTCTTTTGGCAGTAGAACAAAATGATATCGAAATCTTCAAACTTCTACACCATCATGGCGCCACTGTCAAAAAGCAAAATAGCCGCGAAATGTCAGTACTACACCTAGCAATACAAAACGGCAATGCAGGTATTGTTGATATTCTATTGTATAATCATGGCTGTGATGTAAATTTGTCAGACAAGGTGGGTGTCACACCGTTGTTGCTGGCAGTAGAACAAAATGAGATCGAAATCGTCACACTTCTACAAACACATGGCGCTGATGTCAATAAGCAAAATAGCCGCGGAATGTCGCCTCTACATTTGGCAATAAAAAAAGGCAGTAAACATATTGTTGATATTTTATTAAATAATCATAGCTGCGATGTGAATTTGTCAGACAAAGAGGGGATCACACCGTTGTTGCTGGCAGTAGAACAAAATGAGATAGAAATCGTCACACTTCTACAAATACATGGCGCTGATGTCAATAAGCAAAATAGTCGCGGAATGTCGCCGCTACATTTGGCAATAAAAAAAGGCAGTAAACATATTGTTGATATTTTATTAAATGATCATAGCTGCGATGTGAATTTGTCAGACAAAGAGGGGATCACACCGTTGTTGTTGGCTGTAAACATTCGAAACACAGAACTCATCAAACGTCTTCTTGAACATGGGGTTGACGTCAATAAACTAGATGACGATGGTAGATCAGCTATTTGTTACTGCTTCCGTGACCATGGCCTTTCGTACTGGCGTTTCTTCAGTTTCCATGAGTACACAATCGAAATACTAAAGTTGCTGGAGAGTTTTGGTATGGAATTTAGAACACAAAATCGTGGCAATAAATTAGTAAAAAACATTCTGAAAATTGACAAAATTGAATATTTTCAGCATTTAGTTGATTCCAATAAGATCGATTATGATGATATTGATGAAAATGGTGATAATATTTTACATTTATTGGCCAGGGAGCTAAATATCGATACTATTTCTCGGAGCGTCTTTCTGAATGATGAAGGAGTTGATGTCAACCTTATAAATTCAGCAGGTGACACACCATTAATGGTTGCAGCTGTTTTCAACAACGTCCCTTACATGAAAGCCTTGTTGGATTACGGTTGTAAGACAGATACCCAGAATTATCACGGACATACTGCTTTACATCTCTGTGTTGTTGGAATCGCGTGTTGCTTAAAGAACGGATATTTCGGTGAACACGAATGTTTAGACGCTGCATTGTGTAAAGATGTAGATGTTGATGTACAAGATAACGAAGGACGGACCGCCTTAATACTGGCCGCTAAATTCCAACAAGTTAACTTGGTGAAAAGGCTGTTAATAGCTGGTGGAGATGTTAAGATTTTAGATAAATCCGGAAAATCAGTGTTAGAATATATGGACTTCTATAGAATAATAGATCTTAAAATCTGTAAGTGCATTATGCGTAGTGGTGGTGTGAATGTAAGGGACAGAACAGGGAGCACTATGATGGACTGCGCCTTAGATTTTTTTTTTGAACTGCATCAGTTATCGGATGCCCAGGAGATGATTTCATACCTAGTAGCTGCAAATTATTGCTTGAAGAATAACGGGAGTTATTATTTCGATCAGACCGAAGACTCCACATCTAATATAATTAGTGATTTTAGGAAACTGTTGTATGAAAGTGGAGCCGAGATGGTCGACATTGTTTCTAAGTTAAATTTTTTACTAGACAAGGACAAAGATATGGACACCGACAAACAGACAAGTGAATCATTGTCCAAAGAATCGGAATTTCATTCATTTTGTAATAACTTGTCCTTAAAGTCAATGTGTAGGAGAGTTATTAGGCAACATTTGGGGTCAAACATACAAGAAAAGGTTAAGCAGCTCAAGCTTCCAATAATAATACAGAATTTTATTCTATTAAAATCTAACTTGGCAGATAAATATTTCAGTCTAGAAACTGGAGACTGTGATGACGATGATGAAGATGATGTTTGGTACTATTATGATGGTGGTGATTATGATGATGATGTTTTGGATGATTTATGTCGACATTATTACGATCGATACTATGTAACTTCAACATCTCCATCGCCATCACCATCATCATCATCATCACCTTCATCACCACCACCTTCATCATCATCACCGTGATGACGATAATGATAATGATGATGGTGATTATTGTGATGTTTTATGTCGACATTATTACGATCGATACTATGTAAGTTCAGCATCATCATCATCATCGTCATCACCACCACCTTCATCATCATCTTCATCATCGTCATCATAATCATCATTATGAATACCATTAGCTGCGTTTATACGTGGCTACGATAAGCGTACAGTACCGTCATTTACGTGATTTCATAATTTTAAAAATAAATTATTCATGAACTTATTGATGTGAGTAATACTTCTTGTGACGTAATACTTCTTGTGACGTATGATTTATATTATCACAATTATGGATAAATGAAAGTTGTCTAATACAACCTGATTGATGTGGTCTTGTGAATTCCCGATTTTGGAGTAGCGGGGACATAACTAAAAATTATAGACGGGCGCAAATGCGTTTTCCTCTTATGTGGTCCTTTATAGCCTAACGTAGGTGGCTTACCTGAATTCTAAACACGTCAGTCGTGTAGTCTACAAAGTGTTGGGGGGGGGGGGTAGACTTACAAAGTGGTCCAAAGGAATGTCTGCCGAAAGGAAAGCGAGAGAGAGGGAGAGAAATGGGGTTAACGTCCACTCGACACAAACTAAGTCATTTCGGGACTAATATATGCTTCAATTTTATTTCCATAATTCGCGTGCGCGTAGGGGTGGGAGGAAACCGGAGGACCCGGATAAAACCCACGAGGTTGGACAGGCGACCCTACTCCTTGTCACGTACAACCGGGGAATCGAAACCACGCCAGTTGACTCAATAACAGACTTTAAGATACAGCGCGCACGTGCTAACCATTCAGCCATCCACCCCCACCCCTGCCCCACGAAAGGAAAGCTCTCACGGATAAACTATGAGTACGCCAAGATGACTCTCAGTGTTCCCAAGCGCTTTTCTACTCTAGAAGAGCTAGAATGAGATAGAAATTAAAGACTGGATTGTTTAATCTCTCGGGGAAAGTAGAGTGTTCAACTCTGTGACGAGTTGAAAGTACTTCGACATCCAATGGGCAGGATCCATAAGAGGTAAGTCACCTAGAGGAAAATGAAATGAGGTCTAACGTCCTAATTTTCTACACCGGCTGTGTGCTATGGGGGAAATTTTGCCCGGACAACGGCGCTGCGTCTTACTCGCTTTTTTGTCAAATAACAACGACTATACCAGGCGTGCTTCCTGGGGCGGGGCAGGGGGCCGCCCCCACCCCTTCAGCACCAGTGAGACTGATCATCACTGTTCAGACCAGCCCCTGCAGCCAGCAATGGGATTCCCAGATTTTAGTTTCTGTTTAATGAGGCCGCGACGAAGACTCTGGGGACTACACCAAACCACTAATGCATGCGGAACTCTGATGATTACCCTTTGCTCCAATGTATGCCGCCACCCCCCTCGACAAAATCCTGGATCTGGGCTTGTATTCGTTGTCCCTTGTCAGACAATCTGTCCTGCGCCACTGACAAGGAGGGAGGGGGGGGCACGCCGGATTATCTGGATGAACATTTTTGGCCAACACAGGGATCGAAAAGCTTTTTACTCTAACCGTGGTTAGACAAACCTACTTGAAGGAATGTCGGGTGACCTTGAAGAAGGATCATTTGTGACGTAGGATAGGTTAATGGCAGGTCAACGCCTGAACCTGTATAAATGTACCAGCTCACGTACAAAGGTGATGGCGACGTTCTCGGTTTCGTATTTCACAACAGGCGACCAGCGAAGAACAACCTAACCAGCCTAAACCGTACTACACTTACAGAATGGGAACAACCCAACAAGCTTTATAGTTTAAATAGAATCGGGGGATTCCCTTTAAAGCGAAAATAGCATATTTTCTAAGTCAAAACATAATTATTGATATACCTATTACTTAATAGGTTGTCAAATCACTAGTATACAATCATAGGAATCATCTTAGCACTAAAAAAAACCATTCACATAAAAAATTGACAATAGGTTGTCAAATCACTAGTATACAATCATAGGAATCATCTTAGCACTAAAAAAAAACATTCACATAAAAAATTGACAATAGGTTGTCAAATCACTAGTATACAATCATAGGAATCATCTTAGCACTAAAAAAAAACATTCACATAAAAAATTGACAATAGGTTGTCAAATCACTAGTATACAATCATAGGAATCATCTTAGCACTAAAAAAAAAAAACATTAACATAAAAATTTGACAATGATAGCCATGTTTGTTCTTCAAAATGAAAACAAGTATGGCGGTTGTTTAGGGCGTTAATATCTTTTGTTATTTAATTATTTCTGTAGTTTTGTAATGGGAGTTCAGCTTTAATCGTGATATCACATATGGCTGTATCATTTTCTCGCTCTTTGAATGCCCATCCTATCCCACCATCTGACGATAAAGGACAAAGCACGCGACCGTGACAATTTTCTCATAAAAAGTGTTGTTTTACAAATTTTTTTTACGTAACTGAGCGTTGGGGGGGGGGGGGGGAGGGGAGAGGGGGGGAGAGGGGAGGGGGCTATCTAGATTCGCCCACAGTGTATATAGATGCCATGTATTTTAAGGCTTTAATTAGCATGTTTTAAACATATATCAGTAATATGACTTTAAAAAATGCAATTCACTTTAAACCATTTATATTCACATGTCTTTTAAAGCGAGAATTTCATATTTTCTAAGAAAATCAAAACATAATTATTTCTATGTATTTTACTCAATAGGTTGTCAACTCACTATTATACGATCATAGTTATCATTCTCACACTCAAAAATGTTTCACACCGGAAATAATAACACAATTACCTCATAATTACCTCCCTTGTTTTTCTATTCCCTACCATTGTATAGCTATCTTCGAACGTTTGAATTTGAAGTTGAAAATGATATTTTTTCCAATTTCTCAACTGGCAATAGTGAATTATAGGATTAATAGGATTATTCTTTATCAAGGTAGGGACTGTTTATACATAGCATCGATTTGAAGGCTTTATTTTAATACATTTTAAAAATATAACTTAAAAATATGAAATTGTAGCTTTAAATGACGTAAGCGTCTTAATATAAACAGTGAATGACCGACGTGCTGTTCTTAATAACGAACCGTAAATTTAACCTACACGTTATTTTTATAAAACAAGAGTCCGGTTTAACACACACCGCATAATACAACGTGGGACACCGGTCTCCATTTCCAGATGAAGACTGACGGGTTTAAGTTGTCTGAAAACGTATCACGTATATTGAGTTAGTTCCTCGGCCCTAAGGTAGAGTTTTAAGGGCTTTTAACACAAGATTAACCAGTCTTATTCTCCAAAATATAATCAAGATTGGCCCTTTAGTTTTTAAATAGACTCGGCGATTCCCTTTAAATGACGTAAGCGGCTTAATATAACCCGTTTATATTTCCTTTACGAAACCAATAACTAGTAATACTAACACCCTGGATACATTTTGTTCATTCTTTTTGATATTATGTGTAACTTTTGTGATTAGGCGTTTTCTAAGGTATATATACCAATGGACGATAATCAGTCAAGGTAGGCTACACGTAACTTATTAAACATACATTATGCAAAAGCTAAATCTGCCAATTGCAGGTCTTTCTTTAGGTCTGAAATGTTATCTAAACTATTTATTAGACATTAATTAACTTATCCAGACCATAATCAACTCTCGATGTCATCGCTAGCCTGTGATATTCTAATTGATATTAAGTATACACAGTTTGAGTTTAGACTTTCTTACAATAAAATGTTTTACGGTATATATACGAATAAAACGTTTATAAACCATATATTGGGTGAAGCGACAGTGGCCTAATAACTGGCTGTTCACCATTTAGTTCCTGGTGTAGACGGGGTGGTTAATCAGCCCAATGATCTAATGTTAGATTTTATAGTCTGGTCGGGGTAGAAAATTTGTGGGAAGAAATTCCTACCCAAATGATTTCTTCATTTTCTGAAACAACTATGTCCCTAGTGTTCCAGAAAAATTTTCCCCGCCAATCGGAGTTGAGCAAATTTTTGTACAGCATTTTGAAATTTTGGCCCCCTTGGTCAACATAATGAAACTGAAAACCATTTATAACTTCAAAAATATCAATTTTACAGCCTAGAAATATATTATCAACATAGGAAAGTGATACCAAGGAATCCAGAAATGACGTCAAAAGTAACGTACGATGTCACCGTGACGTCAGAATACAAAATGGCGGAACTATTACGTCACTGTGATGTCAAAATTCAAAATGGCGGAGACGTGTTGTTAATAAAGCAATAACAGCAAGCAAATAGACAAGAGGAATATTCTGGACACCATAAAATATTCATTCGGATCATTTGTTCTACCCCGTACCAAATTCATCTTCTAAATCAATGCTGATTTGTTCGCTATTGAGACAACCCTCCCCGTGGCATCCTCCACACGCTTCAACACATTTCAAACCATTCTGTGTACAAGAACATGACGAGCATTGGTGTTTCAACGATTTACATTTACACCAGATGAAATTCAGAACGTTGTCTGGTGCTGATGGAAGAACAGTCGCGATGGGAACGTATCTACTATCTATCACTTGCCAACCCCAATTCACAGGATCGACGCCATCGTCTAGTTCATCCCAATTTCTAACCTGAACATGAATGCGGTGAGCATGCTGCTCGGCCGCGGCAGCTGTTGGAGGAAGTCTATTGATTTGAATGGAAATTTTTTCAGCAATCATAGCTTTGTACCTTAGGTACCGGACTTTAGTCAGAGAAATCTCATTTTTGTGACCATACATTGACATTGCACAGAATAACCTTTCCCCAGCTTCAGATACTTCGGACTGGGAACTTCCAGGTGAAGCTATTGTCTTGCTAGCTTCCTGAAAGATGTCACTGTTCGTATGTTTAAGAAGTCCCAATTTACTGAATCCGAAACAACCAGATTTCCCTCGCCAAATTGTCGTATTTGGTTCATAGCCGTCGAACACGACGATTGGCGAGGGAAATCTTTTTACAAATGACCGATAGTTTTCTAAGATGTTGGAGATATTCGTACCCTTATTCCACCTTACAAAAATTAGCAGACCTCCATCAATGACAGTTATTTCACTGGTGAGCGAAGTGTTCGAAACGGGTGAAACGTTCTTGAGCAAATGCTCAGCGAGATCGGACTTGGTTACATGTCGCATGGAAGCTCCTGCAAACAGTGAGGACGGGAAGGCACTCAACTCATATTTGAAGAACTGTTGAATATCTGTACCTGTGCGCTTTGCCACCGTAATACATCTTTGAAAAAGAACTTCTGGTTGC